TTTTGCTTCGCCTCACAAATGCAGGTTTGCCCTAATATGTCTTTGTTGAAAGACGCCCACTCCGTGCCTGGTATATATCGCAAAAGAATCCCCACTACCGTATAACCGAATTGGCTTTTTGGATAGAAATTATAAACAAAATAAAAGCCGGAAACCGACCGTCCTCCCTTCCGGTGGGAGATACACAGGTTTCGTTGAGAACCGTACGCCGCCTATATTTGCTAAATCAAATGAACTGATTAAACATCTTCCAAGATGCATGCATAGAGCTGTTGAATACTCTTTTGGTGTTTTGATACAATGTCAATGGTCAACTTAGAACTTGAGTTCCTTGGGCTGCTCCCAGCTGAAAGATTGGTTGGTGCCGAAGTGACCGTTCTTGGCAGTCTGGAGGTAGATAGGATGGTCCAGGTTGAGCTCACGGACAATGACACCAGGTCGGAGGTCGAAGTTGTTTCGGATGATCTGAACAAGCTCCTCGGAGGTCTTCTCGGAGGTGCCGTAGGAGTCGACGTAGATGGAAAGAGGCTCAGCGACACCGATGGCGTAGGAGAGCTGGACAAGAGCACGTCGGCAGAGCTTGGCGTTGACGAGGGACTTGGCAATCCATCGGCCGACGTAGGCAGCAGATCGATCGACCTTGGAGAAATCCTTACCGGAGAAAGCACCACCACCGTGGGCACCCCAGCCACCGTAGGTATCGACGATGATCTTTCGGCCGGTCAGACCAGCGTCGCCCTGGGGACCACCAATGATGAAAAGGCCAGAGGGTTGGATCTGGAGGGAGAATTAGCACTTGCGCCTGTTCCTTGTTATGTTGACAAACTTACGTGGTAGATGGTCTCGTCGCTGAGGTACTTGGCGGGGATGACCTTCTTGATGATCTTCTCCTTGATCTCCTTGCGAAGCTCCTCAGTGGAGATATCGGGCGAGTGCTGAGCAGAGACGACAACGGTGTGGACGCGCTGAGGGACAACGGCACCGTTGTCGTGCTTGTACTCAATGGTGACCTGGGTCTTGGTGTCGGGTCGGAGCCAGGGCAGAGAACCGTCGCGGCGAGCAGCGGACATGGCAGCGTTCAGCTTGTGGGCGAAGAGGAGAGTGAGGGGGAAGAGCTCAGGTGTCTCGTCAGTGGCATAGCCAAACATGATACCCTGGTCACCAGCACCAAGCTGCTCGAGAGCCTTCTCGTAGTGAAGACCCTGAGCGATATCGGGAGACTGCTGCTCAATGGCAACGAGCAAGTTGCAGGTCTTGTAGTCAAAACCCTTGGCAGAGTCATCATAGCCGATGTCCTTGATGGCGTCACGGACAACCTTCTGGTAGTCGAGCTTGGCCTGGGTGGTAATCTCACCGAAGACCATGATCATACCAGTCTTGGTGGCAGTCTCGCAAGCAACCTTGGAGAGGGGATCCTCCCTGAGGCAAGCATCGAGGATAGCGTCGGAAACCTGATCAGCGATCTTGTCGGGGTGACCCTCACCGACGGACTCGGACTGGTTGATTGTCAGTGACTGGACTGCGGGATAATAAGACCTCGGTACGAGGTCACATTGATAGATCCGATAAGGGATTGTTCAGATGTGAGCTGCGCAATGGGGGGCGTCGGGAGGGACCTACGGTGAAGAGGAAAGAACCCTCGTTGTAGTGCTTCCATGAGGAGAGCTCGGCGTGAACGCCGTTGGTGCCGTTGGTAGCAGACATTGTGAGGATTATGTGAAGAAGGAGAAGGATGTGAGAGAAAAAGGTAACGGTTAAAAGCTGGGCAGAGACCCGGACAAGTCTGGTTATCTGGTGACGATGGGGTTGAGGTCACTGAGAAGACTGAATGTTAGAATAAGTCGACAATGGAGAGCAATTGGAACAAGGACATACCAAAAAGAGGGCGCTGAAGAGGAGAGGAAGCAGAACGAGGATGAAGGAGGGAAAAGCAGAAAAAGATTCGAAGCGGGAGCGGGAGGTAGTAGTACCTTAAAGAAAAAGGCGGGAAGGAGGGGATGTGCGAATACGTTGTCGCAGGCTTTATTATGAGCGAAGTGGGGGGTGGGAATTTTCCTTACCAAAAGGTCGGAGAGGTTTATGCAGGTAGGTACCTTGGTCCGGGCAGTTTTTTCTTTCGTCCTTTCTTCCAGATCTTGTAGACAATTGGCAGGATGAGCTTACTCGCGACTTGTGCAATGACTCGGTTTACGCCCATATTACTACAATCTCAATGTACCTATCAAATGTTGCCCAATGCTACAGTACAATGGCTTCTCAATGAAAAGGTGGGGATCGACAAAAATAATTGTGCCTGCTCGTTTTTTTTTTTTTTTTTTCTGTTGAACGGCCCTCGGTCGTGATTGTCCAAATCTACAGGGTCCGAAGTCATAAGAAGGTACCTGTATTAGCATGGAGAAATAGCCTGAAGTACAGGTACATTCCTTATCGCAGAGGCAGGCTTTCGGTGGCCGCTACCCTTGGCGATAGAGGGGTAAATGACACTGGGAAAGAGAGAAAAGGCACGTTCTTCGGAAGCCGAAATTTGCGGCAGAATTGCGCCATCGCACCTGCCGTCAGCTGCAAAAAGTGCCTGCCAGTAGGTATTCGGAATACAAGAAAACATATGGCCTCCTTAAGTGTTATGAAATGCCCATTTCTCTTTTACGAATAATTAATGAAATGTACTCCTAAACTTCAATTACTTAGGTAGTCCTCAGTCTAAGCATAGGGCTTCTCGTAGGTTGAGTTGTTGAGGTCTTGACTTTCTACCTGTTAATCTCGCTTTTCTTGCACCCTCTCGCTAACCCGAGCTCATCAATGCAGTTGCAATCCGTCCTCACTCGTACTCGTCTCCCCGCTTCCCGTCAATCCCCTCATCTACGTTAGGATATCCGGTTGTAGGAACAATGGGCCTTGAGTTGCCGAACCTATCAGCCGCAATCCTTCCAAGAATAATCCTTGACCAATTCCCTGATTGATTTTCATACACGTGCACCAGCATCCGGAGAAGATAGTCGAGTGGATGTCAATGAAAAGGTGTCTCCAAGTACTAACGTAAAAAAGTTATCATGATGGCCCCGAGTCTAGGCATGATAACCTAGTACGCGTACAGTAATGGCGGGGCTGATAGCTTCACACGAGAGGCCAAAAAGAGGCTGAGAAACGACTTTTTTTTTTATGGCGCCGGAGCAGGAGGGGCAAAAACGGCGAGGAAAAGAAGATGTGAAAAAATCCGAACTTTTACCCCACCATTCAGGTTCCCTTCCAGAACATGTCAAAATTCACTACCTCTCACAAGCTCGTCACCATCACCACATCGAGAAGTGTAATCCTCATCGATTTCCAAACAACGAGATATAACCGGCGCTGAACCCTGGCTAGACGGTGCAGAGCTACCGCTTTCTGTCATACTCTTCTGCCGCATCGGCCCCCTCTATCTCAAACAAGCGGGGCTGCTTAGAACCTGTAGCTACCTGGTAGCCTCGACCCTGGAGCTATCAAATCCGATCTTGGCCCTTGTTCTTGACAAACAAAACGAACAACGTACAATATTTTTGTATACCCAACATGAGCAAGTTCGGTGCCATGATCATGGGCCCTGCGGGCGCGGGCAAGGTACGTAGAATTGACCTTTGCTTTTGCTTCTGTTCTCCAATACCGCCTCTTGTTGCATCATCGTTCTCATCATGCTGTCACTGGATCGCGTGCTGGTCTTTTGTTCCCAACATTCATAATGCGCCCCAACTAACTTTGCATTTTGTCGCATCTAGTCAACTTTCTGCGCCGCCCTCATCACCCATCTTAATCTTAATCGCCGTTCTGCCTTTTACATTAACCTCGATCCTGCCGCCGAATCATTTGAACATGAACCAGATCTTGACATCAAAGAACTTATTTCCCTCAAAGATGCTATGGAGGAAGTTGGCCTCGGACCTAATGGTGGCCTGATCTATTGCTTTGAGTTCCTTATGGAGAACCTCGACTGGTTGACCGAAGCTCTCGACAGTCTGACCGAAGAATACCTCATTATCTTCGACATGCCCGGCCAGATCGAATTATACACACATGTCCCTATTCTACCGGCTCTAGTCAAATTTCTGTCCCAGCCGGGCTCTCTTGACATCCGCCTGGCCGCTGTCTATCTCCTTGAAGCGACATTCGTCGTCGATCGAGCAAAGTTTTTCTCTGGCACCCTTAGTGCCATGAGTGCCATGCTCATGCTCGAGGTGCCACACATCAACATCTTGTCCAAGATGGACCTCGTTAAGGGCCAAGTGAAGAAGAAGGATCTCAAGCGCTTCCTTACACCTGACGTAGGTCTGCTCGACGATGACCCTATCGAGCGTGCGCGTCGTGTTACAGAGGGTCCTGAAGCCGAAGATGACGAATCAAAGGCACCTGACGAGAAGGAACAAGTGATGAAAGGTGCTAGTTTCCGACGACTGAACCGAGCTGTGGCTGGCTTGATCGAGAGCTTCAGTATGATCAATTATCTCAGGCTAGACGTGACCAACGAGGACAGCGTCGGTGCTATTCTGAGCTACATTGATGATTGCATACAATTCCACGAAGCTCAGGATCCCAAAGAGCCCCATGATGAGGAATATGAGGATCATGACGACTAGTGTGGACATAATGGCAAATGAAGAAATTGGGAAAAGGGAAATCTGTGATATCTTGATAGTAGTATTGCATAGCGCCGGCGTTACTGATTGCTTCTCATTGTCTGAGATAGAATTGAGCTTGGACGTGATGTGTCACAGTCCCGCTCTTTTTCCTAACCTGCCCTCTTCCACCTCTTTCGTGATAAATCATAAGAATTATGCTGATGGATGAGTTATGTTGTATGGTCATGATATACCCCTGCTCTGCGTTTTTTTTTTTTTTTGTTGTTGTTTTTGTTGTGCTTTCCTTGATGTTCCGTCTTCTGGTGGTATTCAAAATGTGTCGGGTCGTATGCAAAACAGCCATTGCTGTATATTCGCCGTCCGCATATATTTTCTCTGTATGGACGTTACTTATCTCGATCGCCGTCCGGAAGCCGTGCCTCTGGTCCCAGCCATGCCCTGTTGCGCCTCGTAGCGATCATACTCCTGCAGCCAAACATCCTTGATGGCAGCCAGGTATCCCACGATCTTGCCGCCCATGACAGCCATATCCCTTGCGCTCTCGAAGACACCACGCTCCCAGATCCACGCTGCAAGAGCAAGGAGAAAAGCCCAAGTCGCGATGCGCATAGCCATGCGCGTCCACCACATGAGCAGACGACGAATCCAATTGAGAATTATTACAACAGTAGCAAGGACAACCAGCGATGCAATCACACCGACGAGGCCTTGGTTTTCTGCTAGCAATATCATGACACGATCAAATAGAGGCTCAAGAAGAGGCGCGGCCGTGTCGAGAAGACTCTGCGCTTGGTCGAGGACGTTGCGCGCGATGATTTGGACGGGCGAGCGTGGGTGCAGGATGTGCTTTTGGATAGAATCGGCGAGCTCCGGGGGAAGCAGCGCTGTAAGGAGGTGCGTTGCCAGCGTTGGAGGTTCCACGGAGGGCATTTCGGCGATTATTTGTGATGGGAATCTTGTCGGTGTAAGGTTTGGGTTTGAGTTTGTTGACGCTGGTGGGGGAAATGTTGTTTCGTGGCTTTTCTGTGCGAGCGTCCAGGGTAGATGTGAAGGGAAAGTTGCGGTCTAAGATGTCTAGCTCAGGTAAGCATTAATCACCACTACCTACTTGGCCCTTTGTCTCCTGGAACGTAACTCGATATATGAAGTGGCCTGGGATTTACTCGAGTTCTGATAGCAATATTACTACACTGTGAATTTTTATCAGGCTACCATCTACAGGATGGCTTGGTTTATCTTATGTTGAGTAGGATAGTTGTGCTCTGGAACATCAGCATAAGCGTTCGAAGACGGTTGTAAGGCACTGATACGGTGAGGCACTAGTGCTACGGTATAAGAGTACAGCTGAAGCGAATGGAAATAGGGATCTGTTAGCCGTCCAACAATATAGCAATCAATAACCTGCGACGTACTTGATCACACTCACTGCCTTACCCACCCTTTCCCTTAACATATCTGAGTCTATCACATGCAAAATTGTGCAATTTTAACTACTTACTACCTTACCTTAATTAGCAAGGGTCTAAAGGATCAAGATCACAGCACGGACCAATATGCGCAAACAGCACGCGAGCATGCCATAAACAGGTCTGAGTGCCATGAATTGACATATGAAATATGTCGTAATTGAAGCTATAAAAAAGTCCTGTAAAAGGTCATGAGTTTAAGAATAAATAAGGAAGCAAACCGCTAGACTTGAAGGGTATCGAAAATAACCTGGTCTCATCCAAGACAGGCCTCAACTCCGTCTGCTCATAACCAGAGCACCATCATGTGTGTTAATATCCCTATCCACCTCCATGTAAAGCGCCATGTGAGAAAAATACAACCTCTTCGAAATACTTGGCCTGATAGAAGTATTCGGGCAACTGTACTCACTCTTCAAGCCCCTCAAGAATGCGTCGCGCAGCGTCAATTCTCCTGCGGTACATGCGTGCCTCTGTACCGGCTCTTGATGACTCTGTCAATCCTAGGACACACTTCCCGAGACTGGCCACAAGTCTCTCGACCAAGATCTGACTTTCTTTGTCAAGCGCTTGTACAGCCGAAGTATTGCCATTCTTTTGTCCACCTTCAATACCGCCCAACCCGGCTGCCTCATTAAGGAGACTTTCGGATATCTGCCTGAGCTCCGAGTCGGGTGAACCCCCGGGGGTACCTGTCGGCGTCAAGATCCCGTTGGTTCCCTTAGACTTGTCTACGAGAGGGAAGCTTCGGTTTGTTCCAGTCGACCCGAAAGATGACATCGAAGGCCGATGGCGCGCGTAGGTAGCTGCGCTGCTACTAGGTCGACGAACCACGGTGCTGCGTCGGGGATGGCTTTGGTGATAATCGACAGAGCCGTTTCTGGAAGGGGCTCCTGATCGAGGGAACCTGAAGTTGCCAAATGTTGCCCGTTTTGAGCTCAGGGGCGCGTCCGAATCTGCGGGCATGATGACGATGGTCTCTGTGGCATCCTCAAATTCCGAGTTGCGACTCGAACGGCCTTCGGTGGCTGTGGCAAAACTGTTAAAGGACGACATAGTATCAACGCTCGGCCTCCTTTCGTGATCAGAATCAGAGTCGGGTGCAGAAGTGGAGGCAACGATTGGGCCGCGAGTTGTCTCAACAGAATCACCAGAGCTCACACTGCTCCAGCTCTCTCGTCGATGCTGGCTCATTGTTCCCATCGCTGAGTGGAGAAAAAAGTGCTCGTAATCGAAAGCATCCTCACGATCCTCGTGAGACACGGGGGTTTGAAAGGCATCATGATATGATGACTCGCCACTCTCGCTCTCAAAATCCACAAACTCGTCGTCATCGTCATCCTCGGCATCGTCGTTGTACTCTCCATTCTGTAGTCCGTAACCATTTCCCTCCTGCTTAAAATCTTCCTCCTCTTGTTCCAGATCTCCTTCCCACGTTTCGCCATCATCATTCATGTCATCGTTTTCTTGCACTTGCGTTTGCACTTGAATGTCATCTCCACGATTCGGTTCCGCTTCAAATTGAGGCGAATCGCTCTGCTCTTGAGCCACAACTACGTCCGGTGCGTCAGAAGTGCGGGAGCCATGTTCAGCACCGGCATCCAACGTTTTCGCAGATTCTTCAGAGGGTTGCTTCGAGCCCTCCTTGGGCGATATTTGACCACTCACTTCATCCTTAGGTGACCCCTGGTTCCAGGGCGCTTGCCAGGCGGGAGTTTCCGGAGTAGTCTCTTGTGATGTTCGAGACTCTGGAAGTCCTTGATCCCATCTCGCGTGAGTAAATGGGCTGGGTGTCCTGAGGCTCTGCAGACTACGGCGTTTCAAGCTGTCTGCCCGTGCCTGTTCCTTGAGACTGGAAATCTTCCCTCTCAGATCCTTCATCTGATGCTTCAAATCACGAACCTGAGCTACAGATGCGGACCGAGGCATATCTGTATCCGTCATGGATCCGAACGTGGGGCTCAACTGATTATAGAGATGAGAGCTGCGTCGGCTGTCTCCATTTGCACCGCCTTCATCTTCACTCAAAGTTTCTAGCATGGGATCGAGAGTTGTGGGACTCCTGTGAGAGGTGGCGCCGTATCCAATCCCAAGAGCATCGGCACTTCTGGATGAAGTCAATGGCTGTCGATAACCTCCAGCAGCACCCAAGGCGCTAGCAGAGCGTTGCAGGAAGCCTGGGCTGGCAAGGCCATTTTGTGAACTAGTTTCGCTGAGATTTCTAGAATGCCCTTGACTCGAACTCAGAGGGATGGTAGACTCTCTTAGGGATGTTGCAGGTCGAACGATTGGAGGAGAAGGGGTTGACCCATCGGACATCGGAGTAAATAAAGAGCTTCTTGCCCTTGACAGGTTGCCCTCCATCGTCTGCAGTCTTGTTAGCATTGCGCACTCGTTACCTAGCCGGACAATGTGAAGCCCACCGTTAATCTTTGTTTCGCATTTGCCAGAATCTGCTCTGCCCTATCACTAAGAGAACTGGTCGAATAGCGCTGCTCGGTAGCCTCCTGAGTACGAGCTATGCGCGGAACCTTGGGTTCTCGTACAGCTGTACCCTCAACATATGAAGATGCCATGCTCTCCTCATCGTCGCCCTGAAAGTTGACGTCGTCAACGCTGACAGAATCGTCAAAATCTCCGAAAGGCGCAGCGCGGCCTTGCGAAGTAATTGTACTGTTGGAGTCGATCGAAGATTTCCTCTCCCGCTGCAGAATTTGCGATCGTGACTTGATGCGGGTTACCCCCATTGTTGGGGATGAGCCCAATACATGATCATCATTGCTGTAAACAGACAGATGCGCCGAGCCACGGCGTCCCCCCTTTCCTATCACGCTTTCGACTTCTGTCACCTCGCCAATGTCTGATAGCATAGTTCCATTTCCATATATGATGGGCGTTGAGGGGGTAATAGGTCCAGCGATAAATTGGTTTTGCGAAGAAGGGAGGTGGAATCGCATGTCACTGGTCTGAACATTATTCCACATTCTTATGGGTGACTGTGAACGCCCATCAAGGGAAACATCGCAATCGTAGTCAGGCAAGATCATGTCGGGATTCGTCAGTGTCGGTGAACCAGGGACTGGCCCGTAGTTCAGTGAAGAACCCGAGCCAGACTTGCCATGGCGGACATCGCGACTATAGTTGGGGAAGGTCTGCGCTGCCATGACTTCTATACCAGGTTGGCTGATGCCAGAGGCGAGGCAGTCGAGTTACTCGGTATGTAGAATGTTCGGTCGGTAGTATTATGTCTCGTCTTGAAGCACGCCTAAGAAGCTAACGGCTGAAATTTAGGACACGGTACTTGGACAGGCCCCTACGTATCGGCCTCAGCTCGGTTGCGCACGCGAGTGGGCTTGTTAGAGGCTTTGTTGTGTTTCTTGTTTATGTGAGTGTGAGTTGCCCGCGATTCGGTAGAATTAGAGACAATGTCTCGAGGGCCGAGAGTTTGCCAGCCGAAAAGAAGAGTAGCGTGGCGCAAAAAATTAGGTACAGATGCCGATCGGACAAAGAAAAGACGGAGGCGAGCGAATGAATAAATGGATGGATGAATGAGCGTGTCGTTGATTTAGTATGTAGAGCCGAGCAAAGGGAACAACAAGGTTCTATTCGCAAAAGGCGCAGTCAGCCAGAAACCTAATTAGGCATGAGGATGGAATGAGTGAGGAGAGCATCCAAAAGTTGGGATGTGGAAAAAAGCAAAGCAATGGATGGACGGAGAGAGCGACTGATAGGTGGTGATGGATGTTGGGGTTCCGTCCATTAATTGAACGAACCGCAATCGAGGGAGGTACGTACCCTTTTAATTGAACCTGCAGATGCCCGGACCTCTTAAAAGACTTACTTCTATGGATATGAACTCCACAGTTTAACAATGAATGGATTGGATGCTTACAATACCTAAACAATAACGGGGTTAAAAAAACAATCGAGTACGACGATGACGTTGGTTCATGAGGACTTTATGAAGATGCTGCTGGCTTCAGGTGATCACAGAAACTCAATTCAGTTTTATCACCTCAACAATGACGAACAAAACCTTGGAATGCACTCTTCAATCTTTGGCGTCGGCGCCCAGTTTTAGATGGTGAGCCGCTGCTAAAACAAGGGACTGACCCGAAAAAATGACCACTAACTAGGCCGTTGAGCAAAACGGGAAATATGGGGGAGCCCGCCTTGTTTTGCTGCTTGTTTGAGGCGTTTAGTTTTGCTCTAGTCCCATTCTGAGACTTTGATTGGTGGTGACCAAAATGCAGTAAACCAAAGATTGAAATAATGGTTCGTGACGCCGCGCGTAGAGAGGAGACCAGCAATGAAGAATAATAAGAGGTTCAAAGGCTTCGCGGAGTACAGAGATCTGCAGTGAAAGTCCAAGCACCATACATACGCAAGATACAACTACCTTTACACGCTGTCCTCCTGAAAAGAAAGGGATACGAGAATACCTGCAATAGTACATGACGATATGTGGCCTATCCTCCAATTAGGTTGTATACTCCGGTACTATGGGTAAACTAAGTTGATCAATATGTTGCACCAAGTAATTTCCATTCCCGTTATAGACCGGGATTAAGGATCAAGAAACCTGGAAGACGCACTGAAGATAGGGGCGCCAGCTCAACCCACCGCTTCAGCTGTGATATGCCTAATTAGGAAAGTTTCCAGAACATGTAGCGGGTATCTTAATTAAACTTTGCTACCGCAGAATGAAAAGCCACCTGTTTCATTCATGATAGCAGGACGGCAAAACACCAATTACTCTGATCGATTAGAAGAAAAGGAACAAGAATTAGTGCTTTAGAGCGATGATCCCCCCGAGCGGAGTCAAGAATCTGTGTAGATGCAGTATCGTCGTACGGAGTACACTCCATGCATTACGAGAATATGGACCAACTATTTCTCGATCTCAAAGCCAGAGACCATGGCGCCGCCCAAAACTGCACTTCTTCAATAATCGACGCCCCCGAAAACATGTACAAATGAGTGACACTTACGGAGTACACTGCCTAGATAATAATACAGGGATACCAAAAATAGATCACACGATGAACTGCAGAACAATTAGCTGCCGGTATCTCAATGTTTTACTGGTTCGTGAAACAACGCCCACACATGCTCACGACATTCACGCAAGGGTTTATGTTGAACATGTCTTTCCAATCATGCCGTCATCCCAGCTTTTTGATATATCCCATCTATGACAACTCCTATAAAATGCATTTCCTTCTACAGGACGATCAGCCCCGTTTTGTTTCGTTTTCAGTAGTCTAGTTCAAAGCAATCATATCCTTCTTCCAAAACCTCTCTTCTTTTGCGTGTGAAAGCATTTAGTCATCAGCGAAAGCCTCGGCTCGGGCCTCGACGCTCTTCTGTGACTCATCCTTGGAGGGCCGGTTGGCAATAAGGCGCTGACTGGTCAGTACCACAGACTCTGTCGTATAGTGGAGGGCACTTACAACCAAGTTTCTCAAGAGGATAGCAATGGTAACCTTGCCGACGGATGGCACGTAAATGGAGGCCTTCTCCTTAATGGCGGGACCATCAAAGTTTCTGTACGAGGAGAAGTTGATGCAGACAGCACCATCGCGGATGAGCTCGGTGGGCACCTTGAAAGACTCGACGGGAACTCCTCCGATGACAACGTCACTGAGGGGAAGGCAGTCCTCGAGTTTCCAACCCTCCTTGTCCTCGACCTGATGGCGGGCCTTCTTGATGCCCTCTCCTCGGGTGAAGATCTGGACACCAGTGACATCGACAGAGTAAACGGTGGCGCCATCGTTGGCGAGGAGGGCAGCGAGAGGTCGGCCGTTGACCTCGGATCTGTTAATGACAGTGATAGTCTTTCCGAAAAGTCGGTTCCCGGAAGCCAGGATGGGGTTGTAGATCTGCAAGTACTCAAGGATCTTGACAACAGCGAGAGGAGTGCAAGGAAGGATGGACTTCTTGCGGTTCTCAGGAGGGTCAATGAAGCGAATGTTGTGGTACATGTTGTGGATGTGCTTGTGTCGAAGACCCTCAACGTCCTTTCCAAGGTCAACCGACTCCTGGATGTACTTGTCGTGAGATGGGTTGTTGGGGAAGATAGGGTAGTAGACAATCATGCCGTCGACATCGTCGTCTTCATTGGCCTTCATGATCTCCTCCTCGAGAAGCTCCTTGTCCACAGTCCGGAGGTCAAAGTTGAATCCGCTATGTTTTGCATTAGCGCCAGGTCGAGGGGCAAGCATCACCCGATGATAGACTGGGCGATATTCAAGCCACGCAGAGGAATATCTCACTTCTCTTCACAAGTCTTCTTGGACCACTCAGCGTACTTTACGGCAGCGGGATCACCGTTGGCGAGGAAAGCAGCCAGTGTGGGAGTGCAAGGGTTCTCGCCTTGGATCTTGGCCAGTGTGTCCTTGACCTCACCAAGGTAACCCTTGGCGATAGTCTCAGCCGTGATGACCTTGCAGGTCTTGGGGACAGTCGAGGTAGCCATTGCAAAGGTTCTCAGACTGCGGAAGCAGGTTGTTATCTGAGATCTCATAGTCAGTCACATGTATTGCTTCTCAATCTTGTATCTTTTCTCCTGTTCTCTTCTCATGTGAAGTCTTTCCAGGTGAACAAACACACCGAGAAGATCCCCACACTAATCTGGCTATGAGCCGTACTACCAGCATTTTTTGGGGTGAGGGGGGAAGAAGCTTGATGCCGTCACAGGAGCCTTTAGCACGTGATGAAATGCCCAAGACATTCCAGGAAGGTCACATACCTTGAGGAAAATGGGTTGATTCAACTTTGACCAGAAGCTGGAAGTTTGAGGAGAAAGAAGAATAAATCAATCACGAGCAATTGTCCCCCCACCAAAGAAAACAAAACTCCGAGTGACCATGGAGGGGCATCTTTGGAGGGAAAATGTTTGCGCAAAAAAAATCAGACCCTTCAGCCACCCAGTCAGAGTCGAGCATTTACAGTGCCCCTCTTACTGCATAAGGCTTAGCGGGATAGTATTCCATCAGTGAGAATTACAGAGGAATGCTCTAGAGAGTCAAGATTTTCGAGGTTATTTTGATACTAGAAAATCCCGATAAAAGGCTGAGCCTAAGTCGAGGGACAGAAAAAATGTACTGCATTGGCACCCATTGGGGTTATGTCGCGGAAACTAAGTAAATATTCGTATTCGAGTTGAAGATTCTAGCTTCTGCCTCTGCCGATTTCGGCGCTTGTTTAAACACTCAAGGAGTTCCACTTACAACCTCGACGTTTTCAACAATAGGAACCAATTATCGTCGGGCTAACGTTGACAGCCTCAGGTTCACTGCTTCCAGAAAAAAAAGAATAGCAAGAATTGACAGCAGAAACACGCTGAGATATGTGTTGGCTTTTGGACGTCCAAGCGGACGGCACAGAAAGTTCCAAGCCTCAGATCCGTGAACCCAATATTGCTTTCCAGCGCTTTTAGTGGTCGCGCAGAGACGCCCGGTGGCTGTTTTGCTTTCGATAGTCGTTGAGTTACTCCAGGCTTGGGGGAAATTCGAGGTCTTTTTGTACTGCGCTGAGCATTCCACAGAGATTTAGAGAAGCTGGTGAACGGGCGTAGTAGCAAGTGCTTAGGTGCCTTTCCAAGGTTCTTGTGATGAGCGAGAAGCAGGGTGTTAATCACCAACTACCTATGATAGCGGATAGCCTGTTATCAGCGACAGGGCCATGGAACAGCCTATCTACAGAATGAAGATTCAGGGAGATCAAAGAGTCTTCTGGACCATTCAAAGGCCCTCAAAAGGTCATTTCTCGTGAACAGTCCCCTGGTGTTGTACTGCTAGACTGCCCAGTACCGACGATCCGGAGACCCCAAATCTTGACACGACACCACCGCATCAGAACGCCCGCGAAAAGATAGGATAATTCCCCAGCGCCTTGCCGTATCTGGTACGATCCTTTTGAGCTTTGGCCCAGGAATCAGGTCGTTTCCGAGTTCGAACCATTTTCTTATCTCCGTTGGTTCCAGAGCCTGTTCTCCCTTTATCGCTAAGACTCCAATCTATGCTATATATATGGCACTACCCCGCCACCTTTTGGCTCCGCGGAGATTCACATTTCAACGCTCCAAACACCACCACGGCCTTATCTCTCAACCGACTGGGTGCTAGTCAATGCCCCTGGACAAAAGCCACCCTACAGCGGCTCGGGGATCGCAGTAGCCTTGTCCCTTATCGCGGCTCTTGTCTGATCGCCCTGCTGCAGCCCGTCACGCCTGGCACCCCTGACCAATGGCATGTTGGATATTTGACCACGGACGACCAGCTTATCGTAGGTGAGCAGCTTGGCTTGCAGCTAGGAGCTCACCAGGCTAGTACGTCGTAGTAGCTTCGGTACATGGCCACCAGCCTGGACGCCTGATGATGATGCTGTTGCAGGCCTTATCTCGCCATGCCATGCCATGCCCACGCGAGGACGCGCCTTGTCTGCCGGTCTGCATTCTTTGAGACAGAACATGGAAACCCAAGTCAAAAAGCACATGCAAATACCTGCCATTACCTGCCATTCGTCTGAATCGTTATCTCTGTCGGTTAATCCAAATCCGAAAATTGGCTGCCGTTTCTCGCCCGTTTAACTGATTACGCCTTGACACTTAAGGTTATCTATCCAGGAGCTGCCAGGGGCTCATGGCATGTTTTTCTAAAACACCAACACATTTCTCGGATACTTCACATTGGAAAGAAAAACCTCTGAATATATAATTGCAGAGAAACTGTTTCGCCAAGAACGATCGTTACCGTTCGGAGGCTCCCACGTTATCAACTTATCGGCCACTGAGACTCTGTAACACTGCATTTCAACGGGCCGCTCTTAGCCCCCGTCATCAGCCCAGTTCTTATCGGATTAACGAGAAATCGTTTGCAGAAATCTGATTTGAGCATCTCCGGGCCTCCGGATTATCACTGGCTTGTTCACTCACCACAGTCTCGTTGAGACAGCAAAGCCAGATAGACCTCTTATCGACTCGAATTTCCACAAAAAGAATCCGGAGATACAGTTTTCGATATTCTTGTCAATCTGGGGTCGTGGGGTATACGGTATTCTCATTCTATATATCTTCTAAGCATTGTCCATTTCCAAAAAAGATATTCACCAAGCTCAACATCGACAAGCAACTCAGAGACAAAGGGAAGCCTCTTAGCTCTCACAAATTCTTTCATCCGTTCTCAAGAGAGTCAAATTAGTTGTCTTCACATTTCTCAATCTCATCGATTAGCTTGTTGAAGATGGGTTTTCAAATCGCCCACCTGTGGAAGGCCCCTGAGGTCAACCCCATCAGCCGAAAAGCACGAAGTGTGCCTATGCTCAACCCTATCGACATCTATGGTCGAGTATTCTCTTTCTCATGGCTCGGTTTCATGCTTGCTTTCTGGGCATGGTGAGTCTCAAAAAACCAAATGTTGATGATGTGATAATCTGACTGAGATTTACAGGTACACCTTTCCACCCCTGTTGACGGTCACTATCAAACAAGATCTTCATCTTACACCGGCTCAAATCGCAAACTCCAACATCGTATCTCTATCTGCTACTTTCTTCCTTCGATTCTTGACCGGCCCTCTGTGTGATCTGTATGGACCTCGACGTGTATTCGCCTACTTGATCCTCCTCGGCTGTTTCCCCATTGGCCTCGCACCGCTTGTCAACAGCGCCACTGGCTTATATATCTCTCGGTTCTTTATTGGCATTCTCGGTGCAACATTTGTACCTTGCCAGGTTTGGTGTACCGGTTTCTTCGATAAGAATGTTGTCGGCACTGCCAACGCCCTTGCTGGGGGCTGGGGTAATGCAGGTGGTGGAATGTAAGTGAACATCCTCTCATGACACTTAATGCCTTTTGACATGTAAGAATTGTCAAAGAACGGTTCTGACTTCCTGAATAGCACCTACTTCATCATGCCTGCCGTCTTCGACTCACTAGTAGCTCATCAAGGCATGTCCCCTTCCAAGGCATGGAGGGTTACTTTCATTGTCCCCTTGATCTGCCTGATCGTCTGCGGTCTTGGAATGCTATTCCTATGCCCCGACAGCCCTATGGGATCGTGGGAGGATCAGGCAATGCTCGTCAGGAAGAACATGGAGGCTCATGGAATGTCTAGCTCTGGTGACGTTACCCCCACTGTTACACCTGACCGCCGCGGTTCAGATGAGGAGAAGAACCCCGGTGAGGAGAAAGATGTCAAGGTTGGAGACCACGAGCACCCTATCTCGCGCAACGAGGCCATTGAGTTCGCCCGAGGCGAGGTCATTGTCAAGCCAACTCTTCATGAAGCCCTCCATGTCTGCTACTCTCCCCAGACCATCTTCCACGTGGCGACCTATGCATGCTCCTTCGGTGGCGAGCTTGCTATCAACGCCATCCTGAGCTCCTACTTCAAGAAGAACTTCCCCCACCTCGACCAGACCAAGGCCAGCAACTACGCCGCTATCTTTGGTTTCCTCAACTTCCTCAACCGACCTCTTGGTGGAGTCATTGCCGATATCATCTACAACAAGTGTGGACGCAACCTCTGGCTCAAGAAGGCCTGGATCGTCGCTTGCGGAGTGCTGGCTGGAGCTCTTCTCATTGTCATCGGAAAGGTCAACCCCTCTGAAGCCAATGGTGGTGATATAGGTACTTTGGTTGGCCTCGTCGTGGTCATGGCCATCTTCATCGAGGCTGGTAATGGTGCCAACTTTGCTCTTGTACCTCACGTTCACCCCTCTGCCAACGGTATTCTCTCAGGCCTGACCGGCGGCGGTGGTAACATTGGTGGTATCATGTTTGCTGTTGTCTTCCGCTTCATGCACGGTGGTAATGACTACGCCATGGGTCTCTGGGTCATTGGCATTATCACCATTGCATTGAACTTGGCGGTTTGCTGGATCCCTCCTCTGCCCAAGGGCCAGATTGGTGGCCACTAAGTGCAGAGTTGCAGTATTGGAAAAGTGAAAAATATGAATGGAATATACGTGTATTTTATGAGCTTGTTATATGGATTAAATGGCGAGCGGGCGCGCGCACTGGAATTGGTCACGATCTGGGAATGGTTAAACTATCGATTGGGATAGAAGGAATTGGTAGGGAACAGCTAGGATATCCCGCCGCATCAGGCTCGATGCGAGATTATTTCATGAATATTATTGGATTATTATTAAACAAATTTCCTCGAAGCAGTGCGTTTTCGACGTGCTTTTTATCATGCTTAGAGCGAAGTGACACATATTCAATGAGCCCAACCTCGCATTATTCTCATTCAGCTGTACACCGTAATCCATCATGATCATTATGATGGTCTTTGTATCACCTGTGACCCTCATTTGACAGCCGCTGATCAATTGATCTCATCTGTACCCAAGACCAAATGACGTGCGCAATGAGACATTTGATGGTCCTGTCGATCAGAAGCCACAAACGCCGCGCCAGTTTGACACAGAGACAAGAGGCGCGCTATAGTTGCACAGGACGGGAAACGGGCT